ATATTTTTTCCAGTATTTTTGATCAAATAAATGCAGGCTTGATGAGCAGAAGAAACTCCTGTAAAAACATTAAAAATCATTCTGATCCCAAACTTTTGACCGGTAGTGTGTGTATATTTAACAATAATACCCCTGATGTGACCATTAACCAACACCAGAGAACCATGCACATATGTTGTTAAATTACTGAAATAATAACTTTGAAGGCCATATTTCAGCTCAAAGTGTTTGTGACTGGCTGTAGTGTGCAGTGTGTGCTCTGCATGCGTCTCACTCTCAACGCAGTGATCTCCTCCTCGGCTTCGGCCGTCGTCTCCTCCAGCTCGGTCTTGGCCTGCTGTAGCTGACTCTCGAGCGCGTGCCGCGCCGCCTGCAGGCTGCTGATCTGAGACTCTCTCTCCTGCAGTGAGAGCGTGAGCTCCGTCACCTGACGCTTGATCTCCAGCTTCTGCTCCTCGTGCTCCAGACCCATCTGAAACACACACACACAGCTCTGCTCGATCATGTGCGTTTAACAACATCACTACGATAGTTTCGTGCCTCTCACATCACAACACGCATTCGATCTTCACACATCATTCCTCACAATCAGTAACTTCTTCTTCAACAGGTCTGTAAGTCTTCTAGGATCCTATCTTCTAACATTCATACTTAACCAGTAATCCTCACATTCAACGCTAGTGATGCACCAATATTTTGGCAATTTTTTATTGATTTTAATGAAGTGAGATCTTTTAGTCTGTGTTTATTTGTTGATGCATGAACAAATCTTCACTAAACATTATTTGTAGCGCAACTGCCATGTAATATTCGCAATAAGCTTTGATATTTGTTGACCACAAAACCAGTCTTAAATTGCACGGGGATATTTGTAGCAATAGCCAACAATACATTGTATGGGTCAAAATTATTGATTTTTCTTTTATGCCAAAAATCATTAGGATATTAAGTAAAGATCATGTTCCATGAAGATATTTTGTAAATTTCCTACCGTAAATACATCAAAACTTAATTTTTGATTAGTAATATGCATTGCTAAGAACTTCATTTGAACAACTTTAAAGATGATTTTCTCAATATTTAGATTTTTTTGCACCCTCAGATTCCAGATTTTCAAATTGTTGTATCTCGACCAAATGTAGTCCGATCCTAGCAAACCACACATCAATGGAAAGCTTATTTTCCAGGGTCTAGGGTCACATATATTCCGTCTGACGGATCTGCTCTCACCTCTCTGAGTCTGGTCTCCAGCTCCAGAATGCGGCTCTTCCTGCTCTGCTCCTGCTGGCTCATCTTCTCCAGATGTTCCTCCAGTTTAGCATTCTGAGCTTCCAGTTTCCCCGCCTGCGACTCCAGGTAAAACTTCTGCTGCCGCAGCTCCGAGATCATCTCCTCCTGAGCTTTCCTGAGAAAAACACCAGCGCACGCTGAGGTCTACAGACGTGATTCATTACCTCTCAGAGTGTTCGATGCCTTGTTTTCCAGTAAAAGGAGTGAATTAGATTTCTCCTTCAATAAGCTCATTTCAGAAGCCTCCTGAGAGTCATTGGAGAATCATCTCCTGGGTGGCGTTTCTCAAAACCGCTAAATTGTTTTTGTTTGGCTAAATCGCAAGCACTCCTATTCCTCCGTCGCTCATCAACACTTGATTTATAAGTTGAACGATACAGCAGAGATGCTCAGATTGAACATTTATTACAAGCTAAATGCTTCCCCAGATTGTTGTTTGCAGATCTACAATAACAAGTATTTAAATATCCTCTGGATAAACACATATTTATTCTAATATGACCTAAAACTACATATAACCGCAGCTACTGACCCATTCATTTCTTCCATAGAGGAGCTCATTTTTAATGATAACTAAGTTTTAAAAGACAGACCTACTGTGAGCTACGAGGTTTTTAATCAATGGTTTAGGCTTTTGCTGAAACCATCAGCTTGCATTATTTTCAACTTATTTTTTAAATAAGCAATTTATATTTTCATTTCACTTTTTAAATAAGCGGAATTCCATGTGAAAAAAAAATTGCACAACTCTTGAGCTCCGCCCACTCCCATGAAGCACTAAACTAAATGGTGCACAATTTTTATTTACATTTAAATCAACAGTTTTATCTGCAATTTCTTCAAATGGCTGATTCATTCCAAAACGAATGAACGGATCATTGATTCGTTCAAAACTTCTGATTCATTCAGTAACAAAGCTTTGTTTAGAACTATTTCTGTTGGTGAAATAGAGCAAAAACAGGCAATAGTGTGTCTAAAACTTAACTCACGATACTATAAAATCAATATTTCATTTGCAGTCATGCTGATATTCGGTCAAAACAGCACTCTTGCTTGTGTGATGTTGTTTAACAATATTATATATAATAAATGAGACAAAAACTCATACAGAGGCATTTTTGCCTCCATATCCATACTCGTCTCACACCCCTAATTCTACTCTTTAAAGGGGTATTTCACCGGAAAAAATTAAATTCTGTCATTAATTACTCCAAACCCATAAGATCTTCGTTCCTCTTCTGAACACAAATAAAGATATTTCTGATGAAATCCGAGAGCTTTCTGACCCTGCATAGACAGCAACGCAACTGAAACATTCAATGCCCAGAAAGGTAGCAAGAACATGGTTACAATAGTCCATGTGACATCAGTGGTTCAACCGTAATGCTATGAAGCTACGAGAATACTTTTTGTGCGCAAAGAAAACAAATATGACGACTTTATTCAACAATTTCTTCTCTTCCGTCTCAGACTTCGACGCTGTGGTACTTTCCTCAACGCGGGTTGATGGACTGACAGTAGTGTTCATTTTTGTTTAAGAAAAGTATGACAAAAAAATGTTAGTTGACAAGCTTTTTTCTCATGACTAAGACGAGACGACAATAAGGTCAATAAACGATAACTATGACTATATCAACATGCAATATTGTTGACAATAAAAGAAGAGACTAAAATGTATTTAAAAAAAATAAAAACTTTACCAAAATTTCTTTTAATTTTCATTGAAAAAAAGGAGACAAAATATTGCGGACTGTTGTACACGCCTCTACTACACAAGCTTTCATGTGTGCGGTTGCCATATATCATGAGTTCAAATTCGCAAATCAGAGCTTCTCTGTTAAAAGGATGCATTTTCTGCCTGGTGTTTTGCTTATTTTTTGCAATCTGGCAACCATTCACACGCACTCGTTCTTCATCACGGAAGCGCAGACGATGATCTGAAACATGTAAGCTGGAGTTCAGCGATCTGCATGTGAGATGTTCAGCTTAAATGAAAGTGTCATCAGCCAGTCTGTGTTCGGTCACAAGATCTCGACTGTTTTGTTTGTGATTGTGGTTCCTGAATAGTGTTAATTTTGTCAGCTATTTTCATTTTAGTCTTAGTCCCGGGCTAAAATGTCCTTGTTAGTTTTTTATCATATTTAGTCAACCTTATCCTATTTAGTTTTAGTCAAGTTTTAGTCGACTAAAAGTCTCAACATTTTAGTCTAGTTTTAGTCCTAGAAAACCTGGGGCCAGTTGCATAAACATAGCCACTGTGTTAAGACTGTGTCTTAAGAACTAGTTTGACCAACTAGTTGTTAGCCAAGAGTTATCAGACTTACCTTTTGGATTCAAATGAGACCATTCTCCCTTTTTATAACTGACTTTAAGAAGTTATGACCAGTCTTAAAGAGAAAAAATTAGATGACTAACTTTTTAAGTCTAGTCTAAGCGGTTTATGCAACCGGGAAGTATTTTAGTCTAGTTTTAGTCAATGAAAACTTGACATTTTAGCAATAAGATTATTATTAATTAACCGTACAGTATTAATTTTGGCAGCCATTTTTAATTTATAGTCTTACTCAAATGTAAATTTCAAATGCTTGGGAGCGCAGTCCGAAAGCCGCGCGCGCGGAGCTTCACCAGGGCGCCGGCGCGTTTCCCTCTTCTGCGTCTGCGTCTGACGCTGGTATTTTCATTATATAAATCAACACCAAAGACTTATGCAATCTCTCTGTCTACATTATGAAAACAGCTAAAACAAACGAAAAATATAACAGTGAAATTCCTAGTAATTCTAAATGGCAATAGCCTATTTTTCTATTAAAACAACAGCGGTTGAGTAAGTGCATTTATTGAGCGATCACAATCGCAAACAGTACAGTCGAGATCTCATGACAGAACACAGACCGGCTGAATAATGCTTTTATTTAGATCGCTAAACTCCAGCTTGTTTGTCTGTGTTTTCAGATCATCGTCGGCGGCGCTTCCGCAATGAGGAGCGAGCGCGTGCGCATGGTTGCCAGATTGCTTAAAATAAGAAAATGTATCAATGTAACATGCTCTGATTCAGGGATTTGAACTCTTGATATCTGGCAACCGCACTCATGAAAGCAGTCTGCAAGAACATTTCGTCTCCTTTTTTGACGAAAATAAAAAGAGGTTTTGGGTAAAGTTGTTTTTTTTTTTAATACATTTTAGTCTCGTCTTATTTCGTCAACGAAATTGCATGTTGAAATTGTCTTAGTTATCGTTTATTGACCTTATTGTCGTCTCGTCTTAGTCATGGGAAAAAAGCTCGTCAACGAACATTTTTCGTCATAGTCTTCGTTAACAGAATTAACACTATTCCTGAATAAATGCACTTGTTGTTTTAATAGAGAAACATTATTGCAATTTGGAATGATTGGAATTACGATTAGGAATTTTACTGTTAAAATTCAGTAAATTTTTTCTTTGTTTTTGCCAGTTTTCATTATGTAGACAGAGAGAGTGCATATCTAAGTCTTTGATATTAATTTAAATATTAAATAGCCTATAATAAATCAGTACACAAGATGAGGTCAAATAAAGTCCACATTCTATTGATTTGTGCTTATAGGTGAAAGTGCAATACCTGAAATGTAAAAATACATTTCTCAAATGGCAACAATCTTTTTTTTTTTTTATCAGTTTAACTATTACACGGTATGACGGAAATGTGAGGAAAAGTTTTCATTGACTAAAACTAGACTAAAATGCTCAGACGTTTAGACGACTAAAACTTGACTAAACAAAAACAGGACAAGGTTGACTGAATATGATATTATAAAACAGATAGTTCCGGTCCTTGATTCTGATTGGCTGAGCCGCGTTCAAAGCTGTTGTAAATTACTCTACAAACATACACCTTTGTTTACGTTTGTGTGTTGCTCGGCAACCACTTTGTTGCAACCACAACTGTTTCTGAGGAGCTACATTGTTTGGTGGAAGAATACTGTTTTTATTAATATCATTACACTTTAGTTGCTCTGTTTTATTCTGTGAATCCTTACTACGTATATGGAATAACCGTTTTATAAAAGCAATAAGCCCCGTGAAGCCGTGGTTTACAGTGACGTCGTCCCTAACAACGCCCCTTAGCTGTTATAAATTCACTGTAAACCACGGCTTCACGGGGCTTATTGCTTTTATAAGTAAAAAGTACATTTGACACCAGGACTAAAACTAAGACTAAATTAAAAATGGCTGACAAAATTAACACTAACTGACAGGGAAGAGAAGAAATTGTTGAATAAATTTGTTATTTTTGTTTTCTGTTGCGGTCTATGCAGGATCAGAAAGCGCTTGGATTTCATCAAAAACGAAGGTCTTACGGGTTTGGAACGACATGAGGGAGAGTAATTAATGACCGAATTTTCATTTTTGGGTGAGCTATCCCTTTAAATGCCACTGAGTTGATTAAAGTTGATCAAATGAATCTAAACTCATTCAAATAATCAGTCACATGTTTTTCTACTAATCCCCCATCAGGCAGTTTAACTAGCTTCACCAGAGAGAACGTTTTTCTATTGGAGCGAATGTTCCTCCAGCAAACATCTGGAAACTCGAGCTGGTCTGAACTGGACCAGTTTCTGGTTTCTGACATCGTGTTTCAGACTCTTACATGTTTTTCTGTGTGTAAATGCTGCTGTTGGCCGCCAGTTTATTGGCTTCAGAGAGTTCAGCGATCCGCTGCTCCAGACTCTTCATCTTATTGTCCATGGCGTTGATGGTCTGTAAAGAGAAACGCACAAAATCCAGCATCAGGATGCAGATTTACTCATAAATGTTAGTCGACCATCAGCGTGAGCAGAAGAGGCTGCCGAAAAGTTTGGGAAACATTATTTGCTGCAAATTACACACTTGACTTTTAATAACAGGACATCATAAGAGCCAAGCTGAGCTTGAATAAAAACGCAAATGAAATCAAAATAACTTTAAGGATGCCAGTGATAAACTCTTCATAATGCAGACTCTTTATTTGCTAGCTCGAGCTACACTAGTGTTACTTGAGTATGTAAATGTTGAAAATTGAAAATTATATTAAAGGTGACATATCATGAAAATCTGACTTTTCCAGGTTGTAAGTGCTATAATCAGGTCCCCGGTGCATCTACCAACCAAGGAAACGTGAAAAAGATTAACCCAGTAACTTTGTTTTGGGAAGCCTTTTTCTGCAAGCGTCTGAGAAAACCAACGCGTCTGATTTCGCTCCCTTGGTGACGTGGCGAAGGGATTATTTGCATTTAAAGAGACAGGCACGAAAAACAGCATGTTCCTGCTTCCACTCAAAATAGGCATTTTCAAAATGATATAATAAATGATCTGTGGAGTATTTTGAGCTGAAACTTCACAGACACATTCTGGGGACACCAGAGACTTATATTACATATTGTAAAAAGGGGCATAATATGTCTCCTTTAAACATCCCTGCGGTTTTACACGCTAAGCATGTGAGTCTGCGATCAGCCAAAAGATAGAGGACGGTAATCTAGTTAGCTAAAGTTTAACAATTTAACTGGATCAAGGGCTGAAAAGCTTGAAAATGATAAGAGTGAATCTCGCAAAACATTCTCAGGTCCCACTTCACCCCAAAATCAAATTGTTATCATAACAATAAAATACATCGCATTCATATAATATAATTTTTAAATCAGCATGTTTAAAACAAATACTACCATGATGTGCAAATACCTAATCTAAACAATAAGATTTTTTTCATATTAAGAATGAGGTTTGTTTTGTCATACTTGATGCTGTTTTTTTTTTGGGCTTTACTGTGTCTGGCAATGTTTTAATGTTGTGGAGCTGTGATGTATTAAAGGTAATAAAAACATACAGTAGATTAGAGAAAAAAAAGGTTTGATCAACATATCAAACAATCACTTGAAATTAATAACACATTTTTCAGTATTAAAAAAAAGAATGAGATTTGGTTTGGTTCAAATTACAGTAATAGAGTTAAATGTCTGGAAAATAATGTCATATCTTAAAATATGGTCATAAAATAGGCTTTATTTTCATGTTTTATGCAAAAAATATAAATTCTTAAGTTTTCTTTTGTTTTTGAGATAAAATATAACCTGGACAGACTAAATATATCCTGGGGGAGCTTACATTTTATACCCATAAACATATACTCAAAAAAGAAAAAAGAAAAGAAAAATTTGGATTCTAGTAGCTCAAAATCCTTAAATTCAGATTCTGCTGGATGAACTAGTCAGTGTGTCTCTAGCAAACACAACTAAACCCTGAGATTCTCTCTCTCTCACACACACACACATGCTTCAGGCTGTCAGGAGTCTGAGTTTGGTTTGAGATGAAGACGAGACACTCACAGCTTTCTGCTCACTGATAAGTTTGCATTTCTCCCGCGCCTCTTCCTCATGTTGAGCTCGTTTCTGCTCCAGACACTCTTTATCAGCCAGATCTGCTTTCATCTGAGCCTCCAGAACCTGCAGCACACACACACACAGGCGTCACAAACACAACAAGCTCACTAGCAGTCCATTAACTTTGATTTGATAAAAATGAGAAGAAATTGATTGTTCTTTAATTACTAACTGATTTGCTACTGAGACCTAATGTGAAACTCTTAATAACATGATGTTTCTGATGTTCAAACCGTTCCTCTGCTGCTGTTGTACATATGTGCTCCTGTCACATCTTATCCACATGGTCACAAAACAGAAATGATGCTTGGAAAAACTCAAAATGTTTGGCATGATGGTAATGACATCAACTTTGGGACACTGATTCTTTGTTATAGAATATTTGTCACACAAACACCACATGCATTGAAAATGTGTTTTTCTAGTAAAAAGTGCAAAGCATTTTGATTTAAAGAATGTAGGTCATTAGAAAAGTGGGAAAAGGTCATTAAAGAAACAAAACATTTTGATTATAGATATTATCTATACACTATCATTCAAAAGTCTGTGGTCTGTAAGTTTTTTTTAATGATTTTGAAAGAGTCTCTTCTGCTCACCAAGGCTGCATTTATATGATTACATTACTGTAAAAATTGTGGAATATTATTACAATTTAAAATATTATTATTATTATTATATTAAACTGTAATTTATTTCTGTGATGCGCAGCTGTATTTTCAGCATCATTACTCCAGTCTTCAGTGTCACGTGATCTTCAGAAATCATTCTAATATGCTGATTTGCTGCTCAAGAAACATTTCTGATTATCATCAATGTTGAAAACAGTCGTGCTGCACAATATTTTTGTGGAAACTGTGATGCATTTTATTTTTTAGGATTCAAAGATGAATAGAAAGTTCAAAAGAACAGCATTTATTTGAAATAGAAATCTTTTGTAACATTAGAAATGTATTTAATGTCACTTTTGATCAATTTAATGCATCCTTGATGAATAAAAATATTAATTTCTTTAAAAAAAAATCTTTCTGACCCCAAACATTTGAACATTACTGTATTATTCAAAATGATGTTTTATTTAAAATATTTTTTATTCATTCAAAGTCATTTTAGGAGACATGAAATATATTAATGGTTGGTATTAATGAAGTGTATTAATGGTCGTTAATATTAAACATTTAAGTTATTATGAAGTTTACTGATGAGTATACAGAAAACAATCGATGTAAAAACAAATGTATAAAAATTGAACAAATCTAATTTTCTCAAACCCACATTATTATGAGCGTCTGTGCTCAACTCTACCTTGATTTTGTCCTCATAGAGTCGCTCTTTCTGGACCAGATGGGCTTCCATCCTCTGTGCTGTAGCCTGAGTCTCCCGCAAGTTTTCCTCGAGCTCCTAAAGACACACACACCCCGAACACACACACACACACACACACACACACACACAGACACACACACAGACACAGACACACACACACACAGACAGACAGACACAGACACACACAGTCCACCGTCAGGAAACAAGCAGATCCAAACACTTTCCAGCAGTAAAATCCAATCACCAGGTGAAGAAATGAACTTGCTTTGAGAAGTTGTGTGCTGGTCGACGAGACAGCATGAAGGTGTGTGTGATCCTCACTGAGAGGTGCAGAGGTGTGTGTGTGTGTGGCAGCAGATGGGACATCCTGTTAGTGTGTGTGTGTGTGTGTTCTGTCATATGCTAATCTGTAGGAAACCGAGGATGACGGTGCAAAGACAAATGTGAACAGAGACCTCTGTGTGTGTGTGTGTGTGTGTGTGTGTTACAGGTCAGCTGGTTAAGGAGGCGTGTTAGTGGTTTAATCTTTGCTAGTCTGATCCGTCTCTCTCACCAGTATCTTCTCAGCCATCTGTTGGATCTGTTGGGATTTGGTCTGGATGTCGTCCTTCAGTTTATTCTCTCGACGCTCCACCATCTCCAGACGCTTCACTTGGTTTTCCAAAGTCTTTCTGCCCTCCTGAACATAAGAGAGCAGTGATTTAACAATTATTACAGGTCCATTCCTGTCAAGAACCCTGTCAACTTCATATTACACACAAAAATCAATAGAAAAAAAATTATAATTGCATAATAAAAAAAAAATGCTATTTGCATTGTGACATTTTAATGACAATTAAACACATTTAACAACCAAATTCCCATTGCTGTAATTCAAATATTGATTAAAGTAAGATGCATCATGGTAGTATTTGCTGTACTAATATACACCACTGATCAAAAGTTTGGGTTCACTAAGATTTATTTTTAAAGAAATTAATACTTTTATTAATTGAGGATGCATTAAATTTAAAAAAAGCTAATTATCCAGGCATATTACAGTAATGAAAAATTGTCATGCAAATAAAGTAAATATAAATATTTTAATAGTCACAAAAAAAGTCTTTATTTTCTTTATTCAACTTATTTTTTGGTGTGAACATTGATCCAGACATGTTCCACTCCTCTAGTAGTGATAAACAATTATTTCAATCAGCTGATAACTGTCAACAGAAGAATAAACTCTCTTCTGTCAGTCCCACAATCCACCAGCAGCCTGCATGATGCACATTATCTGTCTGTCTCCTGTGTTTGAGTGAATGTCAGCCATTGTGAACTCATATCGGTGAGCCGTCGTACCTCAGTCTCACACACACACACACACACACTCTCTCACACTCACTCACTCACACACACACACACACACACACACACACTCACACACACACAGTGAGCCGTCGTACCTCAGTCTCTCGCAGGCGTCTGCGCAATGTGTCGCTGGGGTCAGATTTGCTGCGCAGACGCTCGAGTTCTCGCTCCAGACGCTCTTTGGCCTGACGGATGTTCTGCAGCAGCTCCGTGGCTTCTGTGCTCGCCTTCACCGCCTGCAGGGTCAAAGGTCAAACACATGCAGAGCTCAAAATATGAATGCATTATACACATTATAACACTTAATTTTAGACCAAGACGTCCACCTGTGACCTTCAGATCCTCTAAAGTTAAACCGCAGAAGATTAAAACTCAATGCAGATGCTTGTGTTTTCGCTCCCTGTGTTTGCATGCAACACACAACACAATAGCGGCCTGTAACATGTTAACACACAGCAGAATTAAACACAGAACCTTTGAGAGCTTATCCTGCAGCTCCTGGATCTTCAGCTGCTGCTCGGCGTTCGTCTGCAACACAGAAGCTCATAGAGTCACTGTGACGAGTGTGTAATCAGAAGAAATGACAATGTCAGCACAGGTGAAGTCAATGACAAAGCAATGTTTCAAAGAGACATTCAGCACCTGGACGATCAAACTAGTGATGCACGACTGATCACTGACTACACTGGTATTGAAGGATCTAAAGATCCTCAAATGCAAACTGTGTGTGTTGCATCAAGAGAGCAATCATACATTTGTGTTGTGTTTTTATTCATTTATAACCCATTTATTCATCTAATCATTCATAATCATTAGTCATTTATATATTTTATCATTTATTATTGTTATTATGCTTTAATATTTAATATTTCTTATGCATTTTCATTATTGTTCAATCTCATGATTGTGTATGAATAAGAGATTAGAGGGAATGTTTATGGAAATACAAAGTTTATTGGATGTTTTTGTGAAACTGTTATTTTAGTATCAAGATAAACTAAATTAAAATGAGAAATGTTGCAATTAGTTGAATTTCATTTAATATATATACTGTATATAGTTAACAATAATAACCCTGGTTCCAGTGCAAACAGGACACCTTTAAAATAAAATAAAGAATTCAGTGTTTCATCAGTGCATCCTATCTGAGATGTTTTGCACTGAAGAGTAGAATCTTGATGTTGAATTGAAAAAGTTATTTGGTCAGGCTCCATGTTATTTGTGAATCTACAGTACAGCATATACAGCTCTGGTAAAAACAACACGTACATTTTAAAAGGGTTTTTCTACAAATATGTAGAAGCTTTGAAAAACATGGTGCTTGAGTGTTTAGTTTTAATAGATGAGCTTATCATCACATTTTATAAAAACATTTATTCATGAAGACGTGTCCTCTCTAAATGAAACTACTTGACCGGAGAGAGATTTCACAGCATGAAGAGCGCAGTGAGTATCATTGAGGATGATTGACACCCACATCAACACACACACACACTAGAGGTTGAACGACTAATGATTTTTTTAAAGTCAACTTTTATGTGATGAAAGTCGAGTCGAAGTCGACTAGTCGCTGATGACGTCATTAATGAACAAATAAGTCTGGAGCTGTGACAAACACCTTGTGCACAGCTATGGCATATGACACAGCGCTGCCCACATGGCTGTTGCTCCTATAACAGCTCATTTTTATCAGTTCTTTTGTCTTTGGGTCGTTATATTTCTCAGATTTCTGCTCGTTCTAAATCAGATATACAGATAAAGTAGCACAGTAAAGATTCCATTCATATGAATGCATTAGTGAGAGCGATAGCGTGTGTGAATTACACACTCACACGCACTCACACACTCACACGCACTCACACACTCACACACTCACTCACTCACTCACTCACTCACACTCACACACTCACACGCACTCACACACAATCACACACTCACACACTCACACGCACTCACACGCACTCACACACTCACACGCATGTGTCTGAGCAAATCAAAAAAAGATTTAAACTCACTACAGAAATTTCCATGACTTTTTTAGATTACGTTCTATTGTTCTGCAGGCCCAGAAATGACAAACGTCCCTGATATTTCCCAGTTTTGCATCACCCTGGGAGCAGTGCTGGTTTATTAACAATAATAATTGAGCACCTGTATGATCTTACAGTGACGGCTCTCATGGGATCTATTTGAGCTCTCAGTCAGAGATGAAAGAGCCCACAGGGACGTCCTGTCCATCCCAGAGAAGAGGGCGTTTAGTGTGGTTTGAGTCTAGCGTATGATCTGATGACGGATGAGTTGAGTCTGTGCGGTCCACCGGTCTGCTCAATTATTCATTTGCAGGGACACAAACAGATTTCAAATGAATTTCAGTCATTGTGTGATTTGTACCTTCTCAAGTTTAGAGAGCAGCTCCTCCACCTCTGCTTTGCCCTGTTCCTTCGCCTGCACACAATCAAAATATCAGAATCACATCAAAGGATCAAAAATACCAAGCCCTCACACACACAAATGACATGTACTGTATATATCGGCCAGGAATATCGATCAGACTTTGATAACTGCGGTTTCTGAGTATACTGATTCAATTAATTCAGTTTCAAGCATATAAACAAAGAGTAAATATATTATTAAATAATGCAATTTAATCTATATAAAAAATATAATGTATTAATATATAATTAAAAGCACTTACTGGTCACTGACTGAACACACACACACACACACCTTCTGGATCCTCTGCTGGTATTCGGCTGCTTTCCTCTTGAGCTCTTCGCTGGTCTGCCGTGACTCTCGCAGCTCGGTCTCGTACAGGTCGCTGCGGCGGCGGGCTGCAGACAGGTCCTCCTCCAGCTGTCTGATGGTCACCTGCATCTCCTCCAGCTGAGCGTGATACTCCTGAACACACAGAGCAGCACGTCACCACACACACACACACCAGAGACCTACCAAACACACCAAATATGAAGTCATACTCATACAACGCATGTTCTCAGTAACTCACAGAACATGCACTTCATGGAAACTTCATTTGAATTACACTAAATTACTATAATTAAAGCCATAGCATTGTCCAAGAAATGTGTAAATATCACAGCACATGAATACAATAATCAGCCTGATACACTGTACTATTTTACATGGCTATGAACAGTTATTTTAGTATTACTTGTGTACTATTTAAAGTTTTTTATTCAAATCATTAATTCGTTTTTTTATTTTTATCTTTTCAGCTCATTTTAGTAATTTTATTACATTTATTAAATTTTTTATTATTTCAGTTACTTGCCAACATTTCTAGTTTTGTTTTCTTATTTGATTTTCTTCTTCTTATTATTTTTTTTTACATTTTCTAAGTTTTTCATCTAACATTTATATTTAATTTAATTAATTTCAGCCTCATTTAATTTTAATTAATACAATGTTTTTAATAGTGTTAGGCAACAATAATAACCCTGGTTATTTTTCAATTATTTATATATTATTTTTAAAATCATTGATTAGCTTTTTTTAATTTTTCATTTCATTTTATTTGTTTTAATTCAATTTTATTATTTTAAACTTACTTGCCAACATTTCTATTTTTTTCCATCTAATATTTATATTTTATTTTATTTCCACTTTATTTCAATTAACAGTATGTTTTTAATAGTTTTAGGTAAAAAATAATAACCCTGGTTATGAGCAGTGTTATTTTAGAATTATTTATACACTATTATAGTTTTTTAATCATTAATTCACTTTTAGTTTAATATTTTTAGTTCATTTAAATTTCTGGTAATTTTATTATTTTACAGTCGCCAATATTTCTTTTTTTATTATTTTTTAAATTTTTTATATTTTATTTCAGCTTTATTTCAATTAAAACAATGTTTTTAATATATATATATATATATATATATATAATTATAATAATTATATATTTTAATATATAAAAGTTTCATGTTTTTAATAACTATAGGTAAGAATAATACCCAGCAGCACAAGACGTCTGTGTGCGTTTCTGCTCTGATAAAGCTCTGGTGTTCCTGTGCAATGACCCGCTGACAGCAGCCAGACGGGTTAATGAGGGTTTGAGCGAGTAAGATGCATTAAGGAGTTAAACGAGCGGCTTCAGAGAGTGACTGAAATATAGTGTGAATGATTACAGGCTGAGATTCTCTCTGAAGCCGGCGGGTCTCAGCAGGTTAATTGCGCCGAGTTTAGAGGTCTGCGAGAAACACGCATACAAACGAACTGAACGCACTTTCACAAGCTCTTCACGACATTTCAGTTCAACCAAAGGGAGCATCTTAGTTTGGATCCAACGAAAAAACATTTAAGAGACAAATTATGTTTTAGTTGCCAAATTACAGGATTGCTCGATATAGATCAAAACCACGCTCTGAAGGTCCATCATCAAGTCATTTAAAGCTGCTGCAAGTGAAGCTTAATGGAAAATATCACTATTACATGACAGACTGTGATGAATTATTGTGTCCATTAAATATGTAGAGTCTCCACAATGCATTAAACCATGAAACTTAACATATTTAAGCCTAAATTTAAGATTTATGTTTCTGAATTGCATTTGGATTACACCGTTTTAAAATAAACAAACCAATACACTTAATTTTAGTCACACATAACAGGTCAGATTTCTGCACTCAAAAAGTCATGGCTTAGTTTATTATTAACTATTTGTGATCTAATTATTAACTATTAATCTATTTGGTTTTATTTAAATAATCCCGTTTTAAAATGCATTTATTCAAATTGCTTAGAATCAGCTATTATTCAGTTAAAAACTATGAGCATGGTTAAAATAAATGGAACAAGCAACATTCAATCAGCCAAAATGTATGAAATTGGATTTATTGATAAATATATAAAGCTGGTTATTGTGTATTGAAAACCCATTCAGTTGATTAAACCTGACCCGTTTCATTCATGTATGACTGACAAATGTATGACTGCATCACATGAAGTTTATTAGTTTCCTTATGTTAAAACTGTGTAATACAAATGGATGAACATTTTATGTGCAATTCAAATACATACATCTTCAATTTAGGCCTAAATATTTTTGAGAAATTAGCTGGATCAGACTGATTTTATCACACTTGTGATCATTTCAGTCACTTATTTCAGTGATGCAGCTCTTTAAACGAGATGTTTCAGTAAAATAACTTTTAAAGCTTTTTAAAGATTCAGCCCTTATTGTGTGTGTGAGTGTGTGTGTGTACAGGTTTTTCTACACTGGTGGGGACTTAAACCTGAATACAGACCAACTCATGGGGACTTGTGTCACCGTGGGGACAAAAGCTTATAAATCGTACTGAATGAGTTTTTTTTTTGAGATTGTAAAAATGCAGAAAGTTTTCTGTGAGAGGTAGGTTTAGGTGTAGGGCGACAGGAAAAAAAAATATTTGTGTGTGTGTGAGCGAGTATGTGTGTGTGTGTGTGTGTGAGCGAGTATGTGAGTGTGTGTGTGTGCGAGTATGTGAGCGTGTGTGTGTGAGTGAGTGTGTGTGTGTGTGTGTGTGAGAGAGAGAGAGAGAGAGAGAGAGAGAGAGAGAGAGAGAGAGAGAGAGAGAGAGAGAGAGAGAGAGAGAGAGAGAGAGAGAGAGAGAGAGAGAGAGAGAGAGAGAGAGAGAGAGAGAGAGAGAGAGAGAGAGAGAGAGAGAGAGAGAGAGAGAGAGAGAGAGAGAGAGAGAGAGAGAGAGAGAGAGAGAGAGAGAGAGAGAGAGAGAGAGAGAGAGAGAGAGAGAGAGAGAGAGAGAGAGAGAGAGAGAGAGAGAGAGAGAGAGAGAGAGAGAGAGAGAGAGAGAGAGAGAGAGAGAGAGAGAGAGAGAGAGAGAGAGAGAGAGAGAGAGAGAGAGAGAGAGAGAGAGAGAGAGAGAGAGAGAGAGAGAGAGAGAGAGAGAGAGAGAGAGAGAGAGAGAGAGAGAGAGAGAGAGAGAGAGAGAGAGAGAGAGAGAGAGAGAGAGAGAGAGAGAGAGAGAGAGAGAGAGAGAGAGAGAGAGAGAGAGAGAGAGAGAGAGAGAGAGAGAGAGAGAGAGAGAGAGAGAGAGAGAGAGAGAGAGAGAGAGAGAGAGAGAGAGAGAGAGAGAGAGAGAGAGAGAGAGAGAGAGAGAGAGAGAGAGAGAGAGAGAGAGAGAGAGAGAGAGAGAGAGAGAGAGAGAGAGAGAGAGAGAGAGAGAGAGAGAGAGAGAGAGAGAGAGAGAGAGAGAGAGAGAGAGAGAGAGAGAGAGAGAGAGAGAGAGAGAGAGAGAGAGAGAGAGAGAGAGAGAGAGAGAGAGAGAGAGAGAGAGAGAGAGAGAGAGAGAGAGAGAGAGAGAGAGAGAGAGAGAGAGAGAGAGAGAGAGAGAGAGAGAGAGAGAGAGAGAGAGAGAGAGAGAGAGAGAGAGAGAGAGAGAGAGAGAGAGAGAGAGAGAGAGAGAGAGAGAGAGAGAGAGAGAGAGAGAGAGAGAGAGAGAGAGAGAGAGAGAGAGAGAGAGAGAGAGAGAGAGAGAGAGAGAGAGAGAGAGAGAGAGAGAGAGAGAGAGAGAGAGAGAGAGAGAGAGAGAGAGAGAGAGAGAGAGAGAGAGAGAGAGAGAGAGAGAGAGAGAGAGAGAGAGAGAGAGAGAGAGAGAGAGAGAGAGAGAGAGAGAGAGAGAGAGAGAGAGAGAGAGAGAGAGAGAGAGAGAGAGAGAGAGAGAGAGAGAGAGAGAGAGAGAGAGAGAGAGAGAGAGAGAGAGAGAGAGAGAGAGAGAGAGAGAGAGAGAGAGAGAGAGAGAGAGAGAGAGAGAGAGAGAGAGAGAGAGAGAGAGAGAGAGAGAGAGAGAGAGAGAGAGAGAGAGAGAGAGAGAGAGAGAGAGAGAGAGAGAGAGAGAGAGAGAGAGAGAGAGAGAGAGAGAGAGAGAGAGAGAGAGAGAGAGAGAGAGAGAGAGAGAGAGAGAGAGAGAGAGAGAGAGAGAGAGAGAGAGAGAGAGAGAGAGAGAGAGAGAGAGAGAGAGAGAGAGAGAGAGAGAGAGAGAGAGAGAGAGAGAGAGAGAGAGAGAGAGAGAGAGAGAGAGAGAGAGAGAGAGAGAGAGAGAGAGAGAGAGAGAGAGAGAGAGAGAGAGAGAGAGAGAGAGAGAGAGAGAGAGAGAGAGAGAGAGAGAGAGAGAGAGAGAGAGAGAGAGAGAGAGAGAGAGAGAGAGAGAGAGAGAGAGAGAGAGAGAGAGAGAGAGAGAGAGAGAGAGAGAGAGAGAGAGAGAGAGAGAGAGAGAGAGAGAGAGAGAGAGAGAGAGAGAGAGAGAGAGAGAGAGAGAGAGAGAGAGAGAGAGAGAGAGAGAGAGAGAGAGAGAGAGAGAGAGAGAGAGAGAGAGAGAGAGAGAGAGAGAGAGAGAGAGAGAGAGAGAGAGAGAGAGAGAGAGAGAGAGAGAGAGAGAGAGAGAGAGAGAGAGAGAGAGAGAGAGAGAGAGAGAGAGAGAGAGAGAGAGAGAGAGAGAGAGAGAGAGAGAGAGAGAGAGAGAGAGAGAGAGAGAGAGAGAGAGAGAGAGAGAGAGAGAGAGAGAGAGAGAGAGAGAGAGAGAGAGAGAGAGAGAGAGAGAGAGAGAGAGAGAGAGAGAGAGAGAGAGAGAGAGAGAGAGAGAGAGAGAGAGAGAGAGAGAGAGAGAGAGAGAGAGAGAGAGAGAGAGAGAGAGAGAGAGAGAGAGAGAGAGAGAGAGAGAGAGAGAGAGAGAGAGAGAGAGAGAGAGAGAGAGAGAGAGAGAGAGAGAGAGAGAGAGAGAGAGAGAGAGAGAGAGAGAGAGAGAGAGAGAGAGAGAGAGAGAGAGAGAGAGAGAGAGAGAGAGAGAGAGAGAGAGAGAGAGAGAGAGAGAGAGAGAGAGAGAGAGAGAGAGAGAGAGAGAGAGAGAGAGAGAGAGAGAGAGAGAGAGAGAGAGAGAGAGAGAGAGAGAGAGAGAGAGAGAGAGAGAGAGAGAGAGAGAGAGAGAGAGAGAGAGAGAGAGAGAGAGAGAGAGAGAGAGAGAGAGAGAGAGAGAGAGAGAGAGAGAGAGAGAGAGAGAGAGAGAGAGAGAGAGAGAGAGAGAGAGAGAGAGAGAGAGAGAGAGAGAGAGAGAGAGAGAGAGAGAGAGAGAGAGAGAGAGAGAGAGAGAGAGAGAGAGAGAGAGAGAGAGAGAGAGAGAGAGAGAGAGAGAGAGAGAGAGAGAGAGAGAGAGAGAGAGAGAGAGAGAGAGAGAGAGAGAGAGAGAGAGAGAGAGAGAGAGAGAGAGAGAGAGAGAGAGAGAGAGAGAGAGAGAGAGAGAGAGAGAGAGAGAGAGAGAGAGAGAGAGAGAGAGAGAGAGAGAGAGAGAGAGAGAGAGAGAGAGAGAGAGAGAGAGAGAGAGAGAGAGAGAGAGAGAGAGAGAGAGAGAGAGAGAGAGAGAGAGAGAGAGAGAGAGAGAGAGAGAGAGAGAGAGAGAGAGAGAGAGAGAGAGAGAGAGAGAGAGAGAGAGAGAGAGAGAGAGAGAGAGAGAGAGAGAGAGAGAGAGAGAGAGAGAGAGAGAGAGAGAGAGAGAGAGAGAGAGAGAGAGAGAGAGAGAGAGAGAGAGAGAGAGAGAGAGAGAGAGAGAGAGAGAGAGAGAGAGAGAGAGAGAGAGAGAGAGAGAGAGAGAGAGAGAGAGAGAGAGAGAGAGAGAGAGAGAGAGAGAGAGAGAGAGAGAGAGAGAGAGAGAGAGAGAGAGAGAGAGAGAGAGAGAGAGAGAGAGAGAGAGAGAGAGAGAGAGAGAGAGAGAGAGAGAGAGAGAGAGAGAGAGAGAGAGAGAGAGAGAGAGAGAGAGAGAGAGAGAGAGAGAGAGAGAGAGAGAGAGAGAGAGAGAGAGAGAGAGAGAGAGAGAGAGAGAGAGAGAGAGAGAGAGAGAGAGAGAGAGAGAGAGAGAGAGAGAGAGAGAGAGAGAGAGAGAGAGAGAGAGAGAGAGAGAGAGAGAGAGAGAGAGAGAGAGAGAGAGAGAGAGAGAGAGAGAGAGAGAGAGAGAGAGAGAGAGAGAGAGAGAGAGAGAGAGAGAGAGAGAGAGAGAGAGAGAGAGAGAGAGAGAGAGAGAGAGAGAGAGAGAGAGAGAGAGAGAGAGAGAGAGAGAGAGAGAGAGAGAGAGAGAGAGAGAGAGAGAGAGAGAGAGAGAGAGAGAGAGAGAGAGAGAGAGAGAGAGAGAGAGAGAGAGAGAGAGAGAGAGAGAGAGAGAGAGAGAGAGAGAGAGAGAGAGAGAGAGAGAGAGAGAGAGAGAGAGAGAGAGAGAGAGAGAGAGAGAGAGAGAGAGAGAGAGAGAGAGAGAGAGAGAGAGAGAGAGAGAGAGAGAGAGAGAGAGAGAGAGAGAGAGAGAGAGAGAGAGAGAGAGAGAGAGAGAGAGAGAGAGAGAGAGAGAGAGAGAGAGAGAGAGAGAGAGAGAGAGAGAGAGAGAGAGAGAGAGAGAGAGAGAGAGAGAGAGAGAGAGAGAGAGAGAGAGAGAGAGAGAGAGAGAGAGAGAGAGAGAGAGAGAGAGAGAGAGAGAGAGAGAGAGAGAGAGAGAGAGAGAGAGAGAGAGAGAGAGAGAGAGAGAGAGAGAGAGAGAGAGAGAGAGAGAGAGAGAGAGAGAGAGAGAGAGAGAGAGAGAGAGAGAGAGAGAGAGAGAGAGAGAGAGAGAGAGAGAGAGAGAGAGAGAGAGAGAGAGAGAGAGAGAGAGAGAGAGAGAGAGAGAGAGAGAGAGAGAGAGAGAGAGAGAGAGAGAGAGAGAGAGAGAGAGAGAGAGAGAGAGAGAGAGAGAGAGAGAGAGAGAGAGAGAGAGAGAGAGAGAGAGAGAGAGAGAGAGTGTGTGTGTGTGTGTGTGTGTGCGAGTGAGTGTGTGAGTGAGAGTGAGTGAGTGAGTGAGTGAGTGAGTGAGTGTGTGTGCGTGTGTTTGTGTGTGAAGGGACTGATTGTTAGAGGGAGATCTGGAGATTGAATCGAGCTGATATTGATCAGAGGAGACTGACAGTGAAGGCTGTGCTGTGGATCAGATCTGCTGAGACGTCAACCAGTAGACACTTAATTACTTCAAAGTAACGAGAACAAAACCTCTAGCATGCTAATAAACACTAACATACAACAGAGACCTTCTAGTAATCTGCAGTTATCAAGCAAACACCATTCGATGTTCTTCAGATGTGCAAGAGATCTAGATCTCTACAGGTATCTTCAAAAACAACATGTCTAAAATACAGCAGCAAGTTATACAGAAATGTTACATAATAAATGTTGCTAGATACAGTATACCGTTCAAAAGTTTGTGGTCAGTAAGATTTTTTTTTAAAGAAATTAATATTTATTATTTTCCAAGGATGCATGAAGTTGATCAAAAGTGGCAGTAAAAACATTTATAATGTTTCTGTTTCAAATAAATGCTGTTCTTTTGAACTTTCTATTCATCTGTGAATCATGAAAAATAAAATGTCACAGTTTCCATAAAAATATTGTGCAGCACAACTGTTTTCAACATTGATAATAATCTGAAGACACTGAAGACACGAGTAATGATGCTGAAAATTCAGCTTTGATCACAGAAATAAATGACAGTTTAACAGATATTCACATAGAAAACAGCTATTTTGAATTGAAAATGTAATATTACACTGTTTTACTGTATTTCTGATCAAATAAATGCAGCTTTGGTGGGCAGAAGAGACTTCGTTCATAAAGTCTTTGGCCAGATGTATAGGTGCAGTAGCAATGGAAAACAGTCAGGCTGGAAACACTGAAAAACTGCACACAAACTCTCTCAATCTGATGGCTCAGTTTGCTGGTGTTCTTCTCTCTAAATCCTGTGACAGAGCCGTTCTCAGATCCCAACATACTCGGGGTTTAAAAACCAGCTCAACTCAGGTTTGCCAGCACAGGATTATCCACTAATGCTTGAGTGAAATACTATTCCCCATAATGCCTTGAGCTCATGTTCATGCACACACACACACAGAACAAACATAACTCAAACAGCTTCTGGCCTGTTTTCATCAATGAATGATCAGACTAATCTAACTCATAACAAAACTCATTTCGACTTAATAAACCATTGCTTACTAGTTGTTACATCACTAGTCTGTGGCTCTTCTTCACACACATTCATCTCTACAGACACATTATCTGAAGATCATATAGCTCAAAATTTCTTGTTTTGGTCTTTAATGAGGTGGATGATTCTGTTAATGTCATTTATGTGATGGAAGAAATGTGTGCAGCTTAAATAAAGTGATTTGGAGAAATGTAGCATTGCATCAGTGTCTCAGCAATGGATGTGAATGGGTGCCGTCAGAATGAGAGTCCAAACAACACATAAAAACATCACAATAATCCACAAGTAATCCACAGCACTGCAGTCCATCAGTGAACATCTGGAGAAGACAAAAGCTGAAACTAATCCAGTATTAAGACATTTTTAACTAACATACATTGAGTCCATAATCCATAATAACGCTTCCTCCAGTGAAAAAGTGTTCTGGTGTGAATCAGGAGAGAAATCTGCACAGATCAAGCAGCGTTTAAACAGCTCTAAACACATATGTGCCTGGATTTTAATGTGAGAGACAACAGCAGATGAGCTTTTTCACTGGAGGAAGAGTTATTATGGACTCGTATTTGAGTTAAAAAACGTCTTAATGCTGGATTTGTTTCAGCTTTTGTCTTCTCCAGATGTTAACTGATGGACTGGAGTGCTGTGGATTACTTGTGGATTATTGTGATGTTTTTATCAGCTGTTTGGACTCTCATTCTGACGGCACCCATTCACTGCAGAGCATCCATTGGCAGATTCATTTCTGATTGGTTGGTTTTGTTCATGTCTTTAAACTGAAAAACATGTTGAAACGCCTCTGGAGAAAACAAATGAAAAGCATAATAAACAATTACAGCTGTTTCCATGGAAACTATGCGCCCAACGAGCATCTCCTGATCTCTTCTCTCACAAAAGACAGATTCATCCTCCTCATAAAAGAGCAAATCACAGCAGCTTTGTGTGATGATCTTCAGCCGACGTGTCTGTAGAGATGAGCTCTGACTAATACAGTTAACTAGAGCCGCTTCACAGACTACTAAACAGTGGTGAGTTACTGTACAATCACTTACCCAAGCATTTATAATGTTTCTATTTCAGATAAACGCTGTTCTTTTGAACTTTCTGTTCATCTGTGAATCCTGAAAATTAAAATGTATCAGTTTCCACAGAAATATTGTGCAGCACGACTGTTTTCAACATTGATAATAATCAGAAATGTTTCTTGAGCAGCAAATCAGCATATTAGAATGATTTCTGAAGATCATGTGACACTGAAGACTGGAGTAATGATGCTGAAAATACAGCTGCGCATCACTGGAATAAATTACAGTTTAACAGATATTCACATAGAAAACAGCTATGTTAAATCATAATAATATTTTACAATTTTTACTTTATTTTTGATCAAATAAATGCAGCCTTGAGCAGAAGAGACTTCTTTAAAACACATTAAAAATCTTACTGATCCCAAACTTTAGATTAGGGAACACATATTCCCCAAGAGTTTCACTTCAATAAACTCCTAACTATTATTGATCGTAAATAAGGTAGTTGTTGTAGTAGTTATGTTTAGGTATTAGGTTGGGATAAGGGTCATGCATTATTATGTGCTTATAAACAGCCGATATGCTAGTAATATGCATGCTAATAAGCAACTAGTTTAGCGAACAGTGTTCCCTAATCTAAAGTGTTACTGTTGTCTGCACTAAAGTGAGGTATTTCACAGTAATGCGTTTGTTCACCTGCTCCTTGATCTCCTGGAGTTTGTTGCTCTGTTCTCGGATGTCATGGAGGAGCTGGAGAGCTTTATCATCTTCCTGTGACACTTCAACACGAGCCTGCTCCAGACTGCGCTTCAGACTCTAAACACACACACACACACACACGTCTGTTACGTTGAGATGCAGCGACGTTTGGAACGCAAGGTCAGAACAAGCGTGCCAAGAGTGCTTTTATCAGCGGGTGTATTTGCATTAGAGACAGAACATCAAGAGAGCGCATATATGAAATCAAGTCAGTTTTGCTGTTCTAGATATAAAACCATAGATACGTCCATCAGAAAGTGTGTACTGCTGTCAGAGTGTAAGTACACACTCCTGGGGCCAAGAACTAAACAACTAGCAGTTAGCCGAGAGATAACCAGCCTTGCTTTCTGATCTCAAATTAGACCAAACTAGATTTCTATTTCTAGACTTTTGCCCCATTTTATGTTTAACTTACTAACATACTAAAATCACAAGGTCTCAATGTTAATGCAACAATAGTGAATAATGCTAGTGTGCATCTATTATGGATAAGGATGCACAATATCTCTGTGAATCACAAGGAACTTCTTTGACTGTTTTAGTATGTTGAGGAAGCGCCCAATAAATTTAGATACTCTGTAACTTCACATTCTCAGTTAGTAGTAAACAGTTTCCATCCCGTGTGAAATCTTACTGAGAAACTGGTGCAAAGTATCAGTAATAAAATAATCAAATTTGCTGCAAGTCTGTGATTTTTTTCCCCTACGTATCAAATGATTGTGCCTCAGAGCGTGTAGGTGAAACACAATAACAAATGCTGTCGTGTTATCTGGCATTTGGATGCCAGATGTTTGGGACGCAATTGTGTGAGACGGTTATATCAAATCATTTTGATGACAGACTTTGGTTCAGGCATTTCAGAATGACTAAAACAACATTTGAGATGGTGTGCGATGAGATCAGCTGCTGGTTAGTCCAGTTATCCAGTCACATCATCAGTTTATTTTGTTGTGCATTCAGGAATTTATTTGGTAAATGTATATTTCCATTGTAGTTTATGTGCATGTTTTCTTACTGAATAAAAATATGTATCCGTCTCAACTGTGCACATACATTTCTAGATTTTAATGCGCATCTTGGTGTCTCCATTTGCATTTGGGGGATCAAGATCCATGGAAATACAGCTATTGACATATGTCCAGGAATGACTTGGTTAGCCATCTTTCTTGTGCGGGACCAAATAAAAAATAAATAAATGTAATTTTAGGAAAATAAACAAATTTTGATGAAACAAATACAATATATTTTTTTTTATTACATTTAGTCTTAATTAAATTTTTGTATTACTTTTTTCCTTTATTTTCTGTATTTATTTGTGTATTTATTTATGAATTATGTATTTATGCAAATAAATGTGACAATATTTAAATATGGAAATAAATACATGTAGGAATAAAAAAAATAAATGAACGCATAAATATAAAAATATATATTTTTATATTTATTGGGGGGGGTGTAATAAAAAAAACTTAATTTAATAAAAAATTAATTGTATTTGTTTTCTGCAGGTTTGGTCCTCCATACTTTTTACAGTACATTGTTTTGTTTCTTTCTTTAAAGGGGTCATATGATGCTGCTAAAAAGAACATTATTTTGTGTATTTGGTGTAATGAAATGTGTTTATGCGGTTTAAAGTTAAAAAAACACATTATTTTCCACATACTGTACATTATTGTTTCTCCTCTATGCCCCGCCTTTCTGAAACGCGTCGATTTTTACAAAGCTCATCGGTCTGAAAAGCGAGATGTGCTGTGATTGGAGCGATGATTCAAAAACATTAAAGGGGTCATATGATGCTGCTAAAAAGAACATTATTTTGTGTATTTGGTGTAATGAAATGTGTTTATGCGGTTTAAAGTTAAAAAAACACATTATTTTCCACATACTGTACATTATTGTAGGTCCTATATGCCCCGCCTCTCTCAAACACGTTGTTTTCAACAAAGCCCCCTCCTTTGACAAGCGCAGTCTGCTCTGATTGGCCAGCTGACCCAGTGCATTGTGATTGGCCGAACACCACAAGCACGGGTCGGAAATGTAACGCCCCTTATCATAATCGAGAGTCAGCTTTCAAAGTAAATATCTAGACAGTTAATAATGTCGTTAGTTTGACCATCAGTTCAAGCCGAAAGGGCAACAGAGTCGTGTGACAGACACAGTGATGAAGCTGGTACGTGTTTGCAGTACACAAGCCACGGTTAAGACAGCTGACTCCACTGTGATGTGCCCCTGTCTCTCTCTCTCTCTCTCTCTCTCTCACACACACACACACACACAGGTTTGTTTTTGTGAAAAGTGGGGACATCCCATAGGCGTAATGGTTTTTCTACTGTACAGACCGTATATTCTATTGCCCTACACCCACCCTACCCCTCACAGGAAACTGTGTGCTATTTCAGATTTTCAATACACTCCATTCTGTGTGATTTATAAGCATTTTGAAAAGTGGGGACATGGGGTAATGTCCTGAAAAGTCACCTTCTCCTTGTAATACCTATGTCATACCCTTGTCATTATACAAATTTATGTCCTCATTTGTAACAAAAACGCGCACACTAACACACACACACACACACAG